TTACATATTTTTGTTTCCCTTTATCCAGATCAACCGAAATCTGCCTGTACCATACGAAATGAGGATAGGAAATCCCGACCGAAAAGATCCAAGCATTCGCTAACATCAATCAAAGCTCCGATGATTAAAAAAACAGTCACTACGAGTCTGAACCCGCAAATCTCGGCAGTTGATCGATGGGAAGCGGCTCAAGTTGCCCTGGCCGAGGCGAACAGTCAAAATGCGTTGCTTCAACGACAACTGAAAGAGTGTCGTTTGGAATTACGCACAGTTCAGCGACAATGTAAAATGCAATCGGCTCGGTTGAATAAAGTACGTCATATGAATGTATTTGTGTGTTGACTGATAAGTCATACATCTGAAATATGTTGCTCGTAAAAGTATTCGCACCGACAGATTTTGTAAGGCGGGGATGGGGGTGTAGAGGCAGATCGATAACGGCTACAATCAATGCGTGTTTAAAATCCAATTTTGTTTTACCATTTTTGATTTTGATTTTTTTTTGTTACCAATTTACATTGTATTGCCAGTTAAATTGAAGCATGAAATTGCTAATACTGATGGTTTTGTAATGAAGACAAATGGTGATAGGTTGTTGGTGATGGTGACAGGGGCGAGATGGAGGAGAAACATAACTGGATTTCAAGCGAACAACAACCATCTGTTCAGAACGCAACCAATTCAGTTCCGGTCAATGACGCTCAAGTTACTGGGACACTGGATTTGTTGATCGTTCGGACGGAGACTGAAATGAACACAAAAAGTAAAATTCTCACGAAAATTTTTCAAATAGACTCTTTTTGCTTAAGTATTTCGGTTTGTTATAGATTATGTTTTTTTTTTTGGGGNGGGGGAGAGGGGAAAATTTACTCGTAAACCGAATTATTCCCCTTCTCTTTGTGTGTTCCATTTTGCGTATGCATCAACGCATAAGAGGAAACACACACACACACACACGAAGCTTGTGAGTGGGAGTGTGTTCATCAGCAACGACAGAAATAGACAAATGCACTGTTTGCGTGTTTTTGTTTAAAACGTGTCTTTCAGTTGGATACATCCGGCCGAATTGGCACATCAACAATTGTGTTGAAAACTTACGCACCAGAGTTTGTCTCTAATCTCAGTTTTATTCCCCCCGCCGCCCTCTCAAAAAAGCCCTTTTCGAGACGTGTTTTCAAGCTATTGAAAAAAATGTGCACACCTTCTCGATCCGACCCTCACCCATCGCAACCCGTCGCCTCGTTCCTATCTTAGGTTACGGAAATTGTGAATACAAACCATGTTTGCTCTCATTGGGAACATCGAAAAAATTCTCAACGACTACCAATATAACTTCCGTCTGATACAGACCCACTAGCGGCCGGTGAGTAGTCAAGTCACATTTTATCTTCTGCTTGTGACCATCGTAGGAAGTTGCATCTGGTCTCCCTCGATATCGTCAAGGGATTCGACTGAGTTGGGTATGATGGGCTTGGAGCGAGATTTTCGAAGTTTAGACATGTACCCGGTTTTAATAATTGAATATAAAATGTTTTTATATGACCGATCAATCTCGGTTCACATTTATGGAATTGCACTAAAATCCAGCTTCTCAAAATGTCCCGTACTCTCCCATACTCTTTTTCTTCCCTTCATTAAGAGCTGTTAATCTCAAAATGTCAATTATGCTCTCAGTTTTGCTGACAATGCCAATCTAAGTTGTTCTATTTCTTATAGCACTCCTTATGCTTATAACCATCACTTGTGATCGATTATATACCTGAACTTTATTCAGTTCAGATTTGAGGACCATCGAGACTGATCGTGACTGGTTCGAATCATATGACCGTTTAATGTTACGAGAAAACCGAGACCAATGTTTGTCTTACTTCAATTAACCGAGTAGTCCGGCCGAACACAGAGTGCCAAACAACCTTATTTTCATTGATTGCTCTTACATAATAGCAATGCCACAGGGAAGTGTTGTTAAGACATCTCACCATGATAAATGTATCGTGGCGCTGGTTATGAATCGCAGTTTGCTAGGTTTCCACGTCATAGTTACTGTTGGGCACTGTTGGAAGTATCTCAAAACTTTTCAGATCGCAAAATCTGACAGCACGAAGGAGAATGGATGTCGTCAACGCTCACAACGGTGATACTTTTTTAACAGTAATGAAGTTAGATTTTCACTGAACTGTTTTTCTGTGTTTACTACATGTCAAGGTTGTATGTGTGTGTGTGTGTGGATAAGCTTCATGTTTTTCTTTAATTATTTACACGGTTCAAATCAATCAGCCAGATTTCTGCGTGATTTCAGTGGTTAGGTAATGGGTTTTGATGAGGACGGCGGGGTGGAGGGTTGAAAGGAATGAGATAACGGAATTTTTGGCCTCAGAATAAAAAGCAGTGGTATAAATATAGCAAACATTGAATATGAACCCCTGTGTTTGCATCCACAACAAACATACCAGTAAAATTGGTAAGAAAATATGCGCCCAGTTCAAAACGTAAAACCCACCTTCCCAATTTTTCTTACTAACTTATTCTTACTCATCCCCGATTTTGCTGCTTTATGTACAGTGATTTCTGATTTGTGATATATATATATATATATATGTTTATATTACAATCTTACAAATGGCAGTGTTGTTTTTGTAACTGGGGTAGTCATATGCAAACATCAAGTCAATTCAAGTCAAGTAGGTAGGACAAATGGACGCTAAATTTACTGGTTATTCAAATACATCCCGGTTGGGTTTAAAAAGCGAAGAATGGTAAATTGAAAATAGTTACAATTCAATTGAAGTCAAGTCAAGAGTGCACTTTATTCATCCAGTGTGGACAGATTTTTCAGTGAAAAGAATGTTATCGCTTTTCCTTTGGCCTGCGCGCTATTAAAAATGAGCTTAAAGATATGACCAAGCTTGTTTCATACACAGTCCAGTAAATCATATTCTTCACTACAACTCAGAAACCAACGTTCTCGGTGAGAAAACCAATCCCCGCTCCGCTAAATCACACTGTATTTATCAAATACGAGTGTAGGTGCTTAACCATTTTTATAGGTAGGGCAAATGGAGGCTAAATTTACTGGCTGTTCGAACACATCCTGGTTGGGTTTAAAAAGCCACGCATGGCAAATTGAAAATGGTTACAAGTCAAGTCCAGTAAAGCCAAGAGTGCACTTTATTTATCCAATTTGGACAGAATTTTCAGTGAAAAGAATGTTATCGCATTGCTTTGGCATACGCGCCAACAAAAATGAGCCTAAAGATAAAGACAAATACTTACTGAGACGATAATGAATAGGACACGGAGAACGCGTAAGAAAATAAAGAAAATTTCAACGTGAGAATTCACATTAGACTGTGTATAAGTTTGTTTGATATTCGATCCCTAGAAACCAAAAAACGTGAAAAATAAGGTACAACGGAGTTGTGAAAAGCAGTGGTACGAGTATATAAAGGTTTGAATTTATTACAGATGACAGAAGTTGAAATGTAGCTAGATAGGGCTGTGTGTAAGGGATGTGACAAATCGGACAAGATGAAGTCACACAAACGGTCATATGCATTCAGGTGTCGGTTGACAGCGGAATCAACCAACTCCTCATAAGATACAGCTCCATATCTAGAAATGCTTTTCAGAGAGCGTCTAATTAATATGAAATCCTTAGGCAGTACACCGGGAAGGATAACGGGAGAGCAGTAGGTCCAATGGCATAAAACGTATGAGAAAATAAATTTGGAGATGATGTACAATGACACCCTCAGATGCCGAAGGCGTGAAATATGAAAGGTCAACTTTTTGAATTTAGGAAATGTTTGTTCTACGTGATAGAACCATTTGAGGTCAGCAGACAGGAAACATCCAAGATATTTGAAGTGTTGTGACCTTTCAACTTTTAAGTTTTTGATTAAGATATTGGAAACAGATGATCCAGAAAGAGTTGATAGCCTACGGTCAACGGAAAACAAAACTTCAATGCATTTGATCGGGTTTAACGAAAGGTTAACACCATCGTACCATTCAGAAATGGAACTCATGGCTAATTGAAAGGGGTTAGTTGAAGGGTTGCTGTTGCGAGATGCACCACCAACTACCATGTCATCGGCAGATTTAAATGTGAAAAATTTGGGGTCACTGGCCAGTTTTGGATGTAAAAGGAGAGCAGAAAAAGGGATAAAATTGCACCCTGCATTAAACCCTGGTTTACAGTAACAGTGGAAGACCTAATACCATTGAGGCAAATGAATTGAAGTCGGTCGGTAAAATTGTCCTTTGTCTGGTCGTTCTTATACTTGAACAACCGATAGGAATTATGCAATGCAAATCTCATTTGCGGCTCGGGAAGTTGATTTTGCGAGAAACAAGTCGCGAAGAATCATTGCAGTGATTCTCTTTTAAATCATTATAAGCACGCTGAAAATCGGCCCTGGCGTCGAGTTGGCTCAGGTTAGAAGCATCTAACTCACAACACTCAACACAGAACCATCGCAGTGGTTCTTCGAGAGTTGTAAGTGAGATTTGCATTGCATAATTCACATCAGGAGTTAAGGTATAAGAATGACCAGACAATGGACTACGGGATACGTATACCTGACGATCGGCAAGGACCGCGAAACCGGTTGTGTATTTCTGGGAAATTTCGTCCAGTCATTAGTATACTACTCTTTATGTATATAAACATACATAAGCGATACTTCGTTCATTAAAACAGATGTTTTCACAATCAACATATGATTAGCGAAAGCATAATTTGTCTCGAATTTGTATTTAGTTCTTTGTCGTGACAGCAATGTGGTAAGTTGAAGATCGAATTCGTTCCAGACGCACAAAGTTTTGATCATTACTTTATTTCATGCCTCGTTTGTAAAGAAATCAGCAAACGCGTCCGAACTCCGATAGTACCACTGACATATATGTAGATATACATAACGTGCGAAACTCACTATCTCGCTATCAGTTTCATCGTGAACCACATTCATATATCTATTCAGTTCGGTTCATTTCTTACCTGGCACTTTCGTGCATAGGTATTGGTTGCTGTCCTTTGAATCAAAGAGCAGAATGGAGATTGGAGTGTTGAAAGCAGAGTCAAAGAGAAAATAGAGAATTCATACTGACTGCGTTTGCAAGAATCATGAGTAGATGTATGAGCGTTACTGTTTGCGAAACCCAGCCATATCATTCAGTGTCTCTGACCAACGGTTAACATAATCTCGGGGTTCCCATCCAATGAGCCCAACGGGACCTATGTGACCCAGTTGGCTGGTTAGACATTTAAAACCCTCAGGTCAGGTCTTAGTTTGACCGCATTTGACCTTTTTCCATCCACTGCCTGCTTCGGCAAATATCGCTTGCCACGGCAACCTGTTTGGCGACATACGCAACACACGTCCCAGTCAACATGGTCTATGGAGGTCGACAAATTGTTCCAGTGGACGACCGTGATTTGTTAAAATATACTGCTAACCTCAGTATTGCTTGTCCGGTTTCCCTACAAGTGCAATCCGACGCAGACAGCGGTGTTCGAAAGCCGAGAATCTATTTTTGTCCTGTTCCCCTAACAGCCAAGTCTCTGCACTGGTCGGACTGCTGCAGCATACAACGGACCCTTCACAGACAGTCGGGATTGACCAACCCTTGCGCGGTGCAATATTTTACACATTAAAGGTGGAAAATGCATACCAAGCATAGCTACACTAGCACTCAAACTATTCAGAAACGCCTGTAACTTACCCTGATCTTCACTTAGCAGCACGATGCCGTTTGCATAATCCAGATTAAACAGTCTACCACTTGGGAGCAAATCGATGCCACTATCCTTGCATGAGGATAAGGTTGTTTCAGGAATTGAATCTATAACAAAATTAAATAGAAATGGAGAGAGGGGACAACCTTGACAAACACCACTTTCTGTAGTGAACTGGGATGGAAAAGTAATGTAAGCTCGGACTCGGCTTCGGCTATAAGTGTAAAGGGATTGCAATATTGAAATAAAATTCTCAGACACACTCTTTAAGGCGCGGCAGCGCCAAAGTTTTGTGCGGTCAACTGAGTCGAAAGCTGCTTTCAGCTCGAGGAAGATAGAAATGGTGGGTCTACAAACGGAGTGCCTGTGTTCATATATCCGCATCATATAGGTATTGCCTATTCCACCCTTCTAATAAAAGAAACCATTTTGCCCGATCTTATCAGCAGAGATTTCAAGGTCAACTTTTTTGTTTTTAACACACGATCAAGATGATGAACAGGACAAATATAAATCAAACTGATTCACATTGGAACCAGAAATGAACTAAAATAGCGAATTTATTGAACTATTTTTAATACATTTTGCATAACATATAAATTACATGCGTACACATACACACCCATACCCACACCCCTATTTGTATACAATACATTTATGTTCTCAAAGGCGATTGGTCAGGAAGCTGATTTGCCACAAATCATCGATCGTCTAACGGCTGATATTCGTGCGTTGCAAATTCGATTACGAGAAAAAACTGCTCAGTGTGATGCCAGTCATCGTCGTATCAGTGAACTACAGCATCGGATTTATGTGCTCGAGAAAGATCGTGAGGAACATCAAGCTCAGACTAATACAGATGAGGCTATGCAACGACGTAATGCGGCCCGATTGGAAGAGACTTTGGTCGAATTGCAAGCGGAGAAGAAGAAATCCTCGGTGAGTTCATCGTTGTTCGAGGTCACAGTACTCTTCTACTTGCAGTGGATAAGGTTCGGCGATTCCCGGTCACTTGTACATTTCATTTGCTATTTCCTCATTTTAGTGTCCCGTTCGCAAAATTTTCGTTCTTTAATGATTGACCGATTGCATAGTCCAAATATATCAGTCTTAAACATTTGCTTCATTCTATATACAAAAAGGTGTATTATCAAAACTCAGTAATGGAATCCTGGTTGGCAATAGGCTGAATAAGAATAAATAGGATAAGTAGCCATTCCAGGGAAAAACAATAGTGCTAATTTTTTTAACCTTTCTCAACTTACGTGGTTTTTGTCTAAACCAAGTTAATCATACATCAAATTCAAACTCAAAGTTTTCTTGGGCGATTAAACAAGGCTAAAGCTTATCATGCCCCCAAAAATGCTCACAAAATCTTTTGAACAACTTTACAAAGAGAAAATAATACAAATAATATGCATTATCACTCACGGATGTTGAAGTTTTAAGTATTTCAATGCTTTATGAAGTTACGATTTAAATAGTTCAACTGTAGGAACACATTATATCGGATGGAAGGGAATTTCATACGCTTCACACTGACTGCAGACGAGTGATTCCGGCAGTCAAGTTGGCTGTTCTGGGTCTTTACCTTTATTGGATGTCTCCTGAGGTGATCATGTCGAGATAAAGTCAGCATAGAACGGGTGGGTGATTGGGGTGATGCAGTATGTGACATACCAAGATTAGGTCCCCCGAAGTCGGTGATACTGAGATGAGTAGAATCCCAATATTTGCAGTCTTTCGGAGTATGTCTTGTTATACAGACCTTTTATCAATTTTGTTGCCAGCCTTTGCGGACGTTCTAGAGCCTTCTTGTCGCGGTTCAACCATGGATTACATACTTGAACAGTCTACTCCATGTGTGGCCGAACGAACACTGATAGCAAGCGTGGGAACAGTGCTATTTCAAACTACCTGAAAAAAACGGACTAGTTCAACTTGCTTTAGAGTTATGGATGATGCTCTGGCACAGTGCGTGGAACATCCTATGTCATGCTTTACCATAACTCCCAAATCCCTTTCGTCAGTTGCATGCGGTAGTATTTGGTTCCCCAGAAAGTAGGAGAAATGAGTCTTATGCCGCATGGAAAAAAACTCTGCGTTTGTAAAAGTTGAACTCGATGTCACTGGCGAATGACAATCAGTGTGCTGCATTGATCATTTGTTGAAGTTCTATATACTCCTCTGAATGTATTACAATTCTCCAGATCTTAGCGTCGTCCGCAGATAGCGGTATATTAGACCCAAGGACATGTGGCAGGTCGTTTATAAATTGAAGAAAGAGACGAGACCCCAGTACGGATCCTTGAAGAACCCCTCGGGAAGCGGTGATAGGGTTCAAATAATGAATCATCAACACGAACTGACATGGTTATTTGTTGGAGAAACTCCTTGATCCAATCCAGAACCAAAGCTCTTACTCCGTGGTTGTAGAGTTTTCTCAGTAGAATTTGATGGTTTACTCGCTCAAATGTTTTGGAGAAGTCCAAATAAACTATATCCAACAACTAGCCTGCATTGACGGGTTTTGTTCAGTCATCTCGTGCAAGGAGTAGATTTGTGGTGCACGAACGTTTGTGTCGAAATCCGTGCTGAGTTGGAGATAAAAGCTCAAGTTTCTCCAGATACTCCATCAACAGATCTGTCATAATAGCTTCACTGACTTTCGACAGTATCGGAAAAAGTGCAACAGGGCGGTAATTGGTTGGATCACTGTGGTAGCCCCCTTTGTAAACGGGGGGACTTACTGCCTTGTTGAATATCCTTTGGTAAAGAACAGCCAGAGGTTTGGAAATGTTATTGGCTAGCGAGATCAGAGTCCGGGAACGCACTGTCTGCACCTGGGAATGAATTCTTAAGCAAAGTTAGGAGTTTTGCTCTAACTTTCTCACTGTTAAAAGCCATATTAACCAGTGACAAATACGTTATACAGGGTAGTTTGCTTGAGATCTGTAATACTTCATTTGTCCTTGCAGTAAACACCTGATCGAACTGTTTTTGAGGAACTCTGCTGCTTCTAGACTAGTGTTTGAAACACGTCCAGACGATCTCAATGCTGCTATTCTTATAGAGTATTTCCACGCTCTAAGTGATATTGTGCAAGAAATAGTCTTCTAACCCAGAAATAATGACATGAGAATCATTCAATGTGAATGAGACTAATTTTACACAACGGAATCTGTATGCATAATAATGCTCACAATGCTATTTACGTATATCGACTAAACTACATCCTAAATACAGCCATGAGGTGCGCACATACACAAATATACGTATATACTTATATACACCAACCTTTGATTCAGTATTTGTTCATCGTAGGATCGTCCCCTACGCCACGGATTTGTTGTTCTGTTTCCTTCCTGCGCATCATTTTATGCATCGTAGAGACTGTCTACTAACAGGTATCTGCACTGCACAACTGATAAGTTGGTGACATGACCAGGACCCCTGATCGGGTCATGTTTACATGACCGATTTTCCTCATTTGCAAACGTTTACCTGATAGATGTTCATCTGATATTGATGCTAGCTTGTCCCTTTGCGCTTGGTCATGCGTTCCAATCCCCCAAAACGGTTGTCCGGTATAGTTACAAATCCTTCCAGGGACTATACTAACCAACAGAATAGTCCTTGGGCAAAAAGAACTACCCACACATACATCAGTCGCGTCCGAAGTTGATCAAACTACACGGCTCAGTTTGTGTAACTAAACAGGTATTTGCTGTCTACCCATGGGCAAATTTCCTCACCGGATGAGCCAGCCGGGACCAAACGTGTCGCATGATTTCACATTTGGTTTTGAATGAAGTAGACCAGAAGGAGTAAAATGTTGGGTAAAAATTCAGAACATGATGAAATGAAATGGGTGCACAAGAACCGTTATTGACGAGAACCAGATACATCAATCAGCCTTTCCAATTCATTAGTTAACCAAACCAGAGGCTCCCAATCGGAAAGCCTAACACAAACTTTCAGAATGTTCATAGCTTAAAGCTAAGTCTTGGATTAATCGCCCATGATCCTCTTCCATCTATTACCTGCCTCGAAAAATGTCGTACGACCAGGAGCCTATCTACGTGCCACATACCTCAGCCATGAGGGTATGAAAACCCTAACCAGGACAATAGGTGATACAGGTAGAGTGAGGTTCCTTGAATGGGAACCTCGAGATCATAGTGTTAAAATGCCACAAGGCGGTGCTCGGTTGAGCATATTCTTTTTATGGCAGATAACAGTTTGGATATCACTAATTTAGCATAGATCTAACAGAAATCTCATCTGAAACATATCATCGCAGTTCCTGGCAGCACACCGGGTAATGAATGGAGCATTGGGTAGTTATTCTGTGAGGTACAACAATTTGCCCGCTGTGGTCTAGTTAACTTTTGATCGTTAAAGGAATCCACTAACCGCACTATTTTAAATACTACTCACAAATATGAGTAGTGCCTCACAAAAACGATAACTGGGGTTCAGAGACACTGGGTGACAAGGTTGGTTGTCGCAAACAGTGGTGCTCGTGCATCTATTCATTATTCTTGCGAACGCATGAATTCTCTGTTTTCTGTTTGACTCTGCTTTCAAAACTCCAATCTCCATTCTGCTCTTTGCTTAAAAAAACAGCAACCTATACCGACACACGAAAGTGCACGATTGATAGTTGTAAAAACTGAAGCTGAAACCTCAGCCATCGTGGTCTGCGGAAGTCGAGCAATTGCTGCAGTGTGTAACTACGATTACCTGAAACCATACCGACGTCAATCTTTCCTTCAGTGAATATGCACCACTTGGAACTCGCTACCATCTTACATCTTTTGAGCGTCAATTGTTGAATCTATCAAACGGAGACTTACGGAACCCCCGGCACACCTCACATTTCAAAACTACTAAAACATAAAATTCGAAGGCTACATTAAGTGTTAGATCCATCCGCCGAACAGTGTGGCATTTCAATATTTTCTACAGACAAATGATTATTACTGTGGAAATATCCTATGGGACAATTGAAGGATGAGCTTTTGAGTAATTCCTATATTGAAATTGATTTAGACTTCGAAATTGCCTTTCCGCTTGTCTCAAAAGACTCCGGCAATGCGACGTAGACCACAGTGCTTGAACACCATCAGTCTGTCTGTATGTTGTTTGCGTTACGCCAAGGTTTTTGAACATTCTGAAGATTCTGAAACCCTGCAGGAAACTCTCGTCGCAACCTACTGATGGTCTATTCCTAATGGCATCAAATTCAACGTTGAGGAATGCAACGTTTTATCGTTGCGTCACAGGGATTACTTTCCATTCTTACTTAGAACTCAGCCATTACCGCGTTCTACAAACGAAAAGCATATGGGAGTTATTGTTTGTGAGTATCTAGGATGTTCCACACACTGCGCAAGAGCGTCACCAAAGGTCATAAAGCAAGTTGGATTGCTAAAATGTGCCTTTGGATCATTCGAAGCAGACCTATTAACCTCGTTTACTATCAGCATACATTAGACCACACACCGAGTATACTATAAAGGCTTAGTATCCATGGCTGATTCGCGACTGAAGGCACTCGAACGTCTGCAGAGAACAGCAGCCAAATTGGTCAAAGGGTGACAATCTAAGAACTGCGATGATAGGCTGCATATTCTGGGACGCTATTCGTCTTAATACCGTCGAATACGGGGAGACATGATCCTCGTATATCAAATACTACATCAGTCTAACCAACCGTGTAGTACTCTACTAACAATACGAAGGAATGGTCACTTCAGAGGACATCTGTTTAAACTTTTTCTCCAAAAGAGTCCGCTAGACTTCAGGCGTCATTCTTTCAACCTGAGAGTTTGTTATACCTGGAACTTTCTTCCACCTCAAGTTGTTTGTGCACCAACCATCGATTCATTCAAGTCACGGCTCGATGAAGTATTGAAACACCTAACCTTTCAGTA